CACACGTGTGCTCTGTCCCACTGGGAAACTCCCACCCCTAGTGACCTTTGGGGTTATTAACGCTGATTTGGTCATCATTTGAGCATGGAGATAAAAAGCAGTGCTCCAGTTAATGGTAGACACTCCAAAAATAGGAATAAAGATAAACTTATTTGGGATCTGATGATGTCTTCACCAAGCAGACAAGGTACCATTAGCAGTGGCATTTTTAGCAATGGCTCCTCATCCCAGGGATCCAAAATAGCCTGGCTGAGTCAGCTCCTTGCCCACCTCTACCACTATAAATTGATGCACACGTCCAGGCTGTCACCTCTCCCTTCATACCCACCCCAAACCATATTTGAATTGAGTTTTGACTCACCCCCTCCCATGCTGGCCTGCGTTCCCTCCTCTGGGTCTTTGGTTGGGATTTCAGAGGGAGCAGAGCTCAGAGGAGGAGCTGTGGCCACAAACGAGGATTTCTCCCCTTGCTGGTGGAGGTTTGTGCAGGAAACCTTCCCTGCAGTGGGAATAACCACCCCGAAATGGGCATGGGCAGCACTGGAGCTCTCAGCTGATCCCTCTGGCCACCACCAAGTGCCTCCCCTCGGAGCAGAGCCTCCTCCAGCTGATTTATGGGTTAGTCAGCGTGTCAGATTCCTGTAATGAGATTATATATTCAATCTAATGAAGGAAAAATATGCTTACCAGCCTGGTGTGACAGCGCTGCGATTAAATGATTCAAGAGCAGAGTTCTCTCAGTGGATTAATTTAAATGGAATGCAGCAGGTACAGCTGACCTGCTCCGGCTGTTGTGAGGGGCTCTGCTGCAGGATTAATGGCTTGTGATGGTGTTGATAAAATCACAATAATAAAGGCAGGGAGGAGTGTGTGCAGCACTTGGGTTCGTGTTAAACCAGAGGATTCCCCTCCTGGTTTGAGTCTCAGGGTGGAAGATGAAACTGTGACAAGGGGGGACCTGCTCTGCCCATCCCCGTCCGAATTCCAGCTGCAACAGCCAGGAACATTCCTCCAGCCTGAATTTTTAGGAGCAGGAGTTCCATGTTAGAGAAAGGTGAGGAGGTTTTTGCTGCTTTTCCACCTGAGAGAGAGGGGAAACATCGCCATGGACTGGAACAAGAACCCTTTGTGCTGTCCTGAGTCACCTTCCCCATCCCAAATCCTGAGTTTTTACTTGGCGTCAGGAAGCCATTGGTTGTCCCCTGTTGTATTTGCAGGGTGCCCAATGAAGGAAGGAATGACGAATCTGACTCCATGTTCTCAGAAGGCTAATTCATTATTTTATGATACTGTATTATATTAAAGAATACTGAACTATATTATATAAAGAATACAGAAAGGATACTTACAGAAGGCTAAAAAGATAATAATGGAAACTTGTGACCCTCTCTAGAGTCCCAACACAGCTTGGCCCTGATTGGCCAATAAGTCAAAATAATTTACAGTAGAAACCAATGAAACAATCACCTGTGGGTAGACAAGCTCCAATCACATTCCAAAGGAGCACAACACAGGAGAAGCAAATGAGATAAAATTGTTTTCCTTTTTCTTGGAGGATTCTCAGTTTCCCAGGAGAAAAATCCTGGGTGAAGGGATTTTTCAGAAAATATGAATGTGACAGTCCCCTGAGGAGGAGCTGGCACTGTCACTGCGTCCTGTGGGGTGTGGATGTGTCTGGGACTGGCCATGGGGAAGGCACAGGCTGTGTTTAAAGGGCAGCAGAGGATAATCCCAAAGCAGGGACAGGAGGCCCTTTGTCTGCTGACCTCCTGAATTATCACCGTGCCCACAAGGGCTGGGAGCTGCATCAGGTGTTAAATCTGGTTGGAATCCCAAACAAGGTCACCAAAAAGAGCCAAAAATTCAGGCCCAGGTTTTGGGATGTTTGAATGTCCATCAGAGGCGACAGGGGAGGAACTCTTAGTGGATGAGTTGGGATAAGCTTTGTTTTTCAGGGAGAAGAGTTCTCTAACTCCCATAATCTGCCCAGGCTCTGGGGTGTTGAGCTGATTTTGCTCTGATAATCCATAAGCCGGTCTGTGGTAATTGCTTTCTGTAACTGGGACAAATTTATGATGATGCTAATTGGGCTGCTGCCACCCAGGGAGGGGCCCAGTTAATCCCTGGTGCCCCTGAGCTGCAGATCCTGATGTGATCAGCCCTGCTTGGAAACTGGGGAGGGGGGTTTAATTCTGAGCAGATTGAATTTCAGAGGGAAAAAAAAACAGATCTTTTTCTACAAACCTACAGCATTTTATAGCAGGTTAAAGTCTGGTTCCAGATCATCAGACTAATTCTTAAAAGGAAAAGGATTTTAATTCTGGTACAAGCAACTGTGTGACCTCTGGGGTGAGGGAAGTGCAACTCTGAGGAGTTTGGGGTTTGCTCTTCAGACACTGCAGTCCAGACCCCATCGTTCATCCCAGTGGGGAGATGTTTTAGGTTCTTGGCTGCTTTTATTTTCCCTGGTTGCTTTGTGAGTGTTTGTGCGGGGGCTGAAGTTTCCCAAAGGTTACGTCCCTGCCAGTGACAAACATCTTTTGTCATCACGACTCCTTTAAATGTATTTTTATCCCATAAATCCATCCCTTGGTTCTCCATCTCTGAAACCCTCCATCTGCTGAGGCAGAGCAGGGGATGGCCTTGGATAAACCTGGTTTTCTCAGGGAAGGGGGGCTGGAATGAGGGGAGCACTGGCAGTGCCATCCTCCCTGACAAATCAGGGTTTGATCTCACGTCCCGACACTTTGGTGTTTATGTTCTGTCTGCTTAATGTTCTCCCTTTGCTGGGATCATCATTCTTTGAAATGCTCTGCTTTAATGTAAATGTTTTAATGTTTGCTGCTCATCAAACCCCTCATTCCCAGACTCAGCACACACAGGATCAGCGTGTGCTCCCTCCAAGGCTGAGGCTGACAGGAACGGGGCCCTTGAACCTCTCTCACCACCCAGAAATCCCCTGGCCTGAGGAGAGTCAACATTTATAAACACACTTGTGAAATAATGGACTCTGGGAATGCTGGCCGTGTTTGTCATTTCTCTGCCCATTTCACTGCACATGAAGTGTGTTCACCATCGAACTCCTGTCACTTGATTTATGCCCGTGCGGCTGCTCCATAATTTAAATTGAATTCCTAATTTCTTCGCTGAAACCCCCTCGGATAATTACTGTTAAGGTTAACTGCAGAAGGGAAACTGAATAGTGAGTGGATTACTCGGTTGTTCTGTGTCTTTAGACCACAGGGAAAGGGAACAAAATCCAAGGGATATTGTCCAGAGGAAGGTCTGGCATGGCTGGAATTCCCAGGATATTGTCCAGGGAAAAGTCTGGCATGGCTGGAACTCCCAAGGATTTTGTCCAGGAGAAGGTCTGGCATGGCTGGAACTCCCAGGACATTGTCCAGGGAAGGTCTGGCATGGCTGGAACTCCCAAGGATTTTGTCCAGGGAGAAGTTTGGCATGGCTGGAACTCCCAGGGATTTTGTCCAGGAGAAGGTCTGGCATGACTGGAACTCCCAGGATTTTGTCCAGGGGAAGGTCTGGCATGGTCGGAACTCTAGGATATTGTCCAGGGAAAGATTTAGCATGGTTGGAATATACTCCCAGGGATTTTATCCAGGGAAAGGTTTGGCATGGCTGGAAAAGGTTTGGCATGGCTGGAACACACTTCCAGGGATATTGCCCAAGGAAAGGTCTGGCATGGCTGGAACACACTCCCAGGGATTTTGTCCAGGGAAAGGTTTGGCATGGCTGGATTTAGCACAGCTGCTTGGTCCCTGCTCCCGAGCTGTGCCCAGGCTCCTGCAGGCACAGGGGAAGTGTCCCCTGGCTGGGAGGGAGGGTTGGACACAGGAGGACACAGAGATGGCAAAGGGATCACAGAGCTCAAATCTTTCCCCCGTTTTCAGTGTGATTCTGAACCTCCCCCTCGGGTAAATCACATTTGCACAGATGTGTCAAATCATGATTGCATTCCATAGCCACCGTGTGGGATGAGGTGCCCCAGACCTGGAGCCTTTTCCAGGTGAGTTTGCAGCCCTTGGCCGGGATGTGCAGGGCTGGATCTGTCCCAGCAAAGCCGGGAGTGCTGCTGTGGAGGGGAATCTGCTGCCTGGCACCAAACGTAATTGGCTTTGATGGTCAGCGTTTGCAGATTTGTTTAGGAACTGGAAAATGTACAAATTGCAGCCCATCTGCGCAGAGCTGAGTGCTAATGAATGCCTGCAGCTACCACAGCCATAAGCTCATTACCACAAAGTTCCAAGTCCTTCCACAAGTTGCTAAACAAGGTTATTCATCTGAAGGGAGTGGAGAAGGGAGTTTGACTGCAGGGCACAGCCAGAGCTCCTCCAGATCTAGAAAAGCTGTTAAAACAACCCCCTGCTCTTTGGTCTTTTAATAGAATCCGTTGATTTTATTTCTATTTTTAATTTTGCTCTCCTGTGACAGCAGCTTGCCATGCCTTAACTATTTTCTGTTAATGTTTCGAGCGGAAAGGCGCCTTGTGGTGATTCCTGGGCGCGCTCAGAGACGTTGGGTGGTGAACTGCAGAAGATGGATTGGAACACATCGTGCACAGCCTTTCAGGGGGTTTATGGACCGTGGCAGCAAACACTAATGGCCTCTGTTCTCAGGATGTTTGTGTCAGCTGGGAATCTGTTATGATGACTCGGCTCTTCCCCTGTGCCATGTCAGGCAATTTTCATTTTCTTGTTTCTTCACAAAAAAAAGTGGAATTGATAATACTTATTATCTGTTTTATAGAACTGGTAGTTGTCCAAGTATTTGAACATCCAATGCATGGTGCAGCAGAAGCAATATGTAAAAATATTGTTGGGAGAAATTTCTATTCTCTCTCAGCTGAGATTTTATTCCATGTTCCTTGAGGAAAAATCAGCTTTTCTAAGTTACCAGCCAAAGGAAGCATTTTCCCATCCAATTAATGAGGTCATGAGATGCCTTTGGCCTGCTCCACGTTTTCCTGTGCTCCTCCCTGCCAGGTGGAGTGGCTGAAGAACGAGGAGCCCATCGATTCCAACCTGGACGAGAACATCGACACCAGGGCCGACCACAACCTCATCATCCGCCAGGCGCGCCTGTCCGACTCGGGCAACTACACCTGCATGGCTGCCAACATCGTGGCCAAGAGGAGGAGCCTGTCAGCCACCGTGGTGGTCTATGGTCAGTGACAGGGCTGGGGGGCAGAGGTGGCCGTGCCTGCTGTGCCCTGCTTTGATTTGTGCTGCTGTCGCTGCACTCATTCAAACCTGGCACACTCAGGATCACCCAAGCCCTTCCCGCTGGGATGGGTTTGGGTTTGGAGCTGGGGGGCTCTGGCACAGCCCCTCAGCTCCCCCACGTTGGTGTTTTGCAGTGAACGGGGGCTGGTCCTCGTGGACGGAGTGGTCCAGCTGCAACGCGCGCTGCGGCCGGGGCTGGCAGAAACGCTCGCGCACCTGCACCAACCCCGCGCCCCTCAACGGGGGAGCCTTCTGCGAGGGCATGTCCGTGCAGAAAATCACCTGCACCTCCCTCTGCCCCGGTGAGTCCCTGGCCAGGGAGGGCTTCGGGGGCTGCAGTTACGGGAGAGCTTTCGGTGGGAAGCAGCAGTAGGGAGTTGGGAAGGGAACGGGAAATGCAGGCGTGTTTAGGCCGAGCCTGGTGTGGGTGTGGGTGCAGTGCCAGGCACATGTGGGCAGGCTGGATCTTACCCTGGCACCCCCAAAATCCTGCTCAGGGGGAGAAATAAGGGACCTGGGTGGGGTCTGGAGTTAATGCAGAGAGGGGAGCCGATGTTAAAAACACCAGAAAGAGAAACACAGAAACCTGAGCGTTGGGGATTCCCAGTGTGTGGAGACGCGAGGCTTGACTCCATGTTTCTCAGAAGGCTGGTTTATTATATTATGATATATATATATATATATATGTGTTAAAATACTACATTAAAACTATACTAAAAGAATAGAGAGAAAAGATCAGCAGAAGGTTTGAAAGAATAAGAATAGAATGCATAACAAAATCTTGTGACTCTCAGAGTCCAATGCAGCTGCATCTGTGATTGGCTCGTAATTAGAAACAACCAACATGCACCAATCACAGATGCACCTGTTGCATTCCACAGCAGCAGATAGTTATTGTTTACATTTCTTTCCTGAGCCCCTCAGCTCCTCAGGAGGGAAAAAATCCTAGCAGAGGATTTTTCATAAAATATCATGGCAACACCTGAGATAAGAACTTTGTTAAAAGCATTAATTATCTTGCGAAAGTTGGCTTGGAAGCGGAGTTACGGAGGGCAGCGATGAAACAGGGCTGCTGCAGGCGCTCCCTGGCGAGGCAGGCAGAGCTGACTGTGCTCCCCTGGGCCCGCAGTGGACGGCGGCTGGGAGGTGTGGAGCGAGTGGTCGGTGTGCAGCCCCGAGTGCGAGCACCTGCGCGTGCGGGAGTGCGCCGCGCCCGCCCCGCGCAACGGCGGCAAGCACTGCGAGGGCCTGAGCCAGGAGTCCGAGAACTGCACCGAGGGGCTCTGCATCCAAGGTGAGCTGTGCCACGGGGCTGGGAGCGGGGTTTGGCATGGCCTGAAGGCCAGGGAAGCTGCGTGGCTCTTGTGTCGGAGCTCTTCCTGTGAAAAGGGAGGTGGTTGTTTGGTTTTCTGTGTGGAGTTTGAAATTTTCCAGGTCTATGGATTTGCGTTGTTCATTCCCTGCCTGTGAATGATCAGGTGATGCTAAAATCCCAAATCCAGGGGATTTGCAGGGTGGAACTCACACCTCCACGACCAAATGTGCTCCCTCAGCCTTTCCCTGCAAGCAAACGGGCAGAGCCCCCAGGAGAGCTGCGGGTGCAGGAGCCGGTCAAGGTCGGAGTTTGCTCCTTTTGCTGCCTTTAGCAGGAGTTAAAGCCAGGCAGATCTGCAGCTCCCTGGGAAAGGCTTTGCCCTTCACCAGTGTCTGGGAAGCATCTGGCACTGGGAAGCTGCTGCTGCCCCCAGCACGGGGAGCTGGGCAGAGCAGCCCTGCAGCTGCGCAGGCTCCGCACACGGGAGGAATTTGTGAGTTCATCCCTGCCCTGAGCCTGCTCCTGTCCCTGTGGAGGGGCTGTCACCTCGTCAGGTGGAACAGCAGCCCTGGGAGCCATCAGGAGTGCCAGGGCTGGGAGATGTAAACAAGGATGTGTCTGTTTTCTGTAACGTTGTGTTTAACCAGCCCTCTGTCCTTGTTTCTGTGCTTCTGCACTGCCTTTTCTCTTATAAACAAAATGAACTCTCTTTTTTTTCTGCCCTGAGATTTTAATACTTTCCCAGTGGCAGAGAGCATCCTGTGTATTTATTCAGGCTTCAGAGATACCTGAGCTGAGAGCTTCAGTCAGATTTTTGCTGGGGTTTGGTGGGAGGGAACACGCAGCACTCTGGCTGTGGATCCCAGCACTTAAAATTCCCAGGGCTACAGAACAGCTCCAAGGTACCCAAGGACAGAAATGTAATTTAATTTCTTTTTCCTTCCCTGTGTTTTAAGAAAGAATAACCAGAGAGGTTTGGGAGCAGTGCCATCCACTCAGCTCTCAGGGACTGGGATGTTTCCTGGGGTCTCTCTCCTCTCCATTGATGAATTCCTGTTCCTGCTGAAGGCTGACTCAATCCCAAATCCATCCCATCAGCATATCTGTGGGGGGCTGGCAGGAGGACGTGGGAAGGGCGTGAGGAGCAGCAGCTGAGGCTGCAGGTGGAGGTGTGACAGCAGAGGGGACCTGCCACCCCCTGGCTCTGTCTGTGGTGTCCCCAGGGCCAGCTCAAGGTCACTGCCTGAAGGAGCACTGCCAGTGGGAAATGCTCCTGTCCTGCCCCAAATTCCCTCCTTTACCCACTGTGGGGGCACTGCCACACCCCACCCATGCCTGGGGGCACAGGGACAGAGCCAGGACTGTGCCAGGGAGCCTCTGGCACTGAGGGAGCTGGCTCAGCTCTGCCCTGCGAGGCCTTTGGGGCCACACAAACTCATTCCCTCCTTTTCCCGGAGTCCCAGAATCCCGATTTGCGTGGGAAGGGACCTTAAAGCCCTGCAGTCCCACTCTCCTCCATGGAGACACCTTCCATGGACACCTTCCCCTGTCCCAGGTGGCTCCAAGCCCTGTCCTGTGCTCCAGGAGCTGCATTTCCCTGTGGGTCCAGCTGGACTGGAGAGTTCTGTGTCTGCTGCTCTTTCCACCCCTAGGTGTCATCCTGTCCCTCCAGGTGTCATCCTGTCCCTCCAGGTGTCATCCTGTCCCTCCAGGTTAATCTTCTCCCTCCAGGTGTCATCCTGTCCCTCCAGGTTGATCCTGTCCCTCCAGGTGTCATCCTGTCCCTCCAGGTGTCATCCCGTCCCTCCTTCATGGCTCGAGCTGGAGCTGTCCCTATGTCCTCGTTGTTTTTAGGGCTGTAATTGCTTCCTCAGCTACCAGGAATTGATGCAATTAGCCTATTTTTTAAAAAAAAAAAAATCTCTTCTCCCGTTCATCTTCCAGTATGTGCCTTTCCTGCTCCGCTTCTCATCCCGTGGGGAATTGTGGAGGAAATGCAGCCCTGAGCCACAGCAAACCAATCTCTTGGAGGTTTTTTATCAGGCACAACTCGTTAACTTTGCTCCTTCTGTGAGGCAGAAATAGCAACATTCCTTTGGTTAACAAATCAGGATGAGCTGAAGGGGAGGATGGGAATGGAGGGTGCCAGGGAAGAGCCAGCCTGGGAAAATCCTGATCCTTGGGAGGCAGAGAATGGAACGGGGATAAAATGGATCAATTCTGGGGTTCTTTATTCAGTCCCTGACTGGAGAGTTGGGGAATAACCCCAAGACACCACTGAGGAACATCCCAGTGCTCCCTTTGGCCTTGGATCCCCTGGGAGGATCCCAAAGGTCCAGCCCTTGCTGAGGAGCAGCTGGAAGAGCTTTTCCTTCAGGGATTTTCTCCTGGAACTTACAACTCTTGTGTAGATCCAGACTTGGATGCAGGAAGAAGATTCATGTGGGGATGAAAGATTTCCAGGGCTGCCAGATCGATTCCCTGGGCCCCAGACAGTCCCAGTACCTCACTGGTCTTCTACATGTTTGTTCTCCCAGTGTTTATTCCCTCCCAGTATTCCCAGCTGGATGCTTTGCCAGGCTGGATTTCTCTCTCTTTCCTGCAGAGGTGAAAGCTTTCTCTTTGCTTAATAAAAGAGAGGGTTGGGTTTTTTTGAGAGCTTTTTGTTTTACTTTTATCTGTTTGCTTTAAAGTTATTTTTCCCGACTTCAAAACCTATTGATTTCTTCTCTCACTGCCCAAAACCAAAACAAACAAGTAGGGCCACAAGGACCGACCTGCAAACATGTTTTTACTAATGCACCCCGAATAATCACAGCACAATCACAAATCATTTTGTTTTCCATTTTCCAAGCAGTGCTGCTGCTGTTGCCAGGAGGCTCCTGGACCCAGGAATCTCCATTTCCACGGGAAATCTTTGCAGTTTGGTGCAGCCAGCAGCAGGGAAGGCTTTGCTCCACTGCAGACTCCAGTCTGACCCTCCTCTCTGGGTCTTTTTGTGCCTCATTTTCCTGCAAAACCAAAACCAGCCTTGGGCAGGGAAATAAAAACCTCATCCCAGCGGGTTTTTGGTGAGGAGCCAAAAATCCAGTGATCTTCTGGGTTAAGTATTTCTAAACTGAGCATCCTCACAAACATTAAAATGAAGAGAGGAGCCTCATAATGTGCCTGACTCTCCCAATTTTAGGGATAACTTTGGCAGATTTTAGGTTATAAATGATGACTCAAGTGCTTGGCATGAGGCAGGGAAGGGTAATTTTTGAGAGCTGCAGTTCCATAGAAAACCCCTTTTGTCCCATATTTCCATCTTCTGGGGGCACATGGATGTGTGTGTTCATGTACACACACAGAGGTGTCATTATTGGGGGTGTTTAGTACAAAAATGTGAATAAACTGGGCATTTTTATATCTTATAACTAATTGAAGTGCCCATCACCAGCCTTTCCATAGATCAAACACACAAAGGAATCATTAATTCTGACCTGAGTCTCTTTGCCAATGATCCACTGCAAGGTATTGAACTTCCTTCTTGCTGAGGTGTAAATAAACAACAGCATCCAATAGAGCCAACAAATAACCTGAATTAACCAAGTGAGAAATTGCTGCAAAGGAACTTCCTGATAGGGATTTAGAGGGAAAAAAAAAAAAAAAGAAAAAAAGAGAAGATGAAGAGAAAAACATGGACAACATAAAATATTCATATTGTCAGCAAACGAGGAGAAAATGTTTCATTTATAGAGTGAGACAGAAGCAATATAGGAGATAGATATGCTCCATGTAAATTTATTAAGTGCAACTTTCTCTCTTTCTCCCTCTCCCTCTCAGATAAAAAACCTCCTCATGAAATAAAATCCCAAAGATCTTTTTTTTTTTTCTCTTGTAAATATGATTTTCCTCGTCTCCTCTGCTGTTTGGGTTATTTGTTTAGGAGCTAAGTAGGAGCCAAGGTTTTATGAGAGGCTTTAGCATGTGCTGAAAGCAGCTGTGTGATCCCAGGTTCAGCGAGCCAGGGGAGTGCTCATCCCCAGCAATTCCTGACAGGGAGCCCTGGCTCGGCTCGGCATCGACCTCTGCAGCACGTGGAATTAGGAAAAAAAGGAATTTCTGCAAGAGTTTGGGGTTCCTGGTGCAGATCTGGTTCTGCTGCTGGCTCTGACCCTGCTCAGCTCCCTCCTGTCTCACCTGGAGGGTGTTTCTGTGCTTGGGATCATCCCAGGGCTGCTCTGTCCTGCACCTGCAGCTCTGCCCACCCCAACAGAGCAGGAGACCAGGGGGACATGGGCCAGGAGGAGAGGGAATGGTCTTGAGCTGTGCCAGGGTGGGACATCAGCAGGAATTTCCCCCTGGAAAGGGCCTTGAGCTGTGCTGAGGTTGGAAATCAGCAGGAATTTCCTCATAGAAAGGGCTGTAGAGCTGTGCCAGGGTGGGACATCAGCAGGAATTTACCTGTGGAAAGGGTCTTGAGCTGTGCCAGGGTTAGATATCAGCAGGAATTTCCCTGTGGAAAAGGTCTTGAGCTGTGCCAGGGTGGGACATCAGCAGGAATTTCCCTGTGGAAAGGGCCTTGAGCTGTGCCAGGGTGGGACATCAGCAGGAATTTACCCCTGGAAAGGGCCTTGAGCTGTGCCAACGTTGGAAATCAGCAGGAATTTTCCCCTGGAAAGAGCTGCAGAGCATTGGCAGGGGCTGCCCAGGAGGTGCCCACCCCTGGAGGTGCCACCTGGGGCCGTGGCTAGTGCTGCCCTTGGTGGTGCTTGGTGATCTCCAAGGGCTTTTCCACCCTTGGTGATTCTGTGATTTTACATTCCTGGTGCTTAGTTTTTTCTCAGGATACCCAAAATCTGCAAAAGGGGCTGAAGATGCCTTGAACCTTTGGGTTTGTCTGGGCGTCCCCAAAATCAGCCCTGATGGCTCCCTGCTCTGGGCCAGGCTGGGCTCTGGCAGTGGGTTCCCTTTTTTGTCTGTGCAGTTCCATTTCACAGAGGAAACTGAGAGAATGCCAGTGAAATCTCTGGATTCTGTGATTTACCCAAAACCCAGCTGCAGTGGGGATGATTTGGAGATGGAAAGGGCTCAGTTCCACCCTGGGGCAGGGACACAGAGCTCACAGGAGCTGCTCCAGGACTTCCCCACTCATCAGGGATGCAAAATCAGAGCCAGGGATGAAGATCATTGAGGGACAGCCCGGAGGATTTCTTCCCTGAGCTCCTGACTCGTGATCCCCGTGCTCCAAGAGTGAGGAGAAGGATTTTGAGCTGTGGGAGGGATGGGGAAGAGCCCAGCTCTGGGAAGATCCTCTGGGATCTCCTTCTGGAGCTGGGGAGGAGGGCCCTGCACAGCTCCTGCAAAGCTCTCCTTGTAAATGAGATAATTTAATCAATTACCTCTCCTAATGCACTAAACCAAATGTTTCACTTTCTGCTCCTGCACATCTTAAATTATCTTCAGGTGCTTTATGAAACTTAATCATAGTTAATAGAAACTTCATTACCATCAAATGTGCTTTCAATAAATGTTGTGTAACAGTGGCAGGAGGTGGAGTGAAAAATGGGTTGCAATTACCACAAACAAGGATCCTGGAGCAGAAAGGGATAAAATTTGTGGTGCCTGCCAGGGTCCCTCCCACCCCTGGGCCAGGAGGACACAGCTCATTAAGGAATAATTGGTGGACTATAAATGTTTGCTTTTCTAGTTTGCTTGCTTGGTTTCCACTTTGTTCCCTTCTGGGAAAAAAAAAGAAAAGCAGAACTTCACCCTGCTCCCCCAGATTTCCCACGCCTTCCTCCTTCCCTTAATTTCCAATCATCTCCCGGGGAAGGGATTCTCCAAAAGAAAAGATCAGAAGGTGAAGAGGTAAAAATTACTTAAAAAAAAAAACAAACCAAAACAAAACAAAAAACAAAGAGTGGTTGTTTCTAAATCCCAAACCAAAAAGAAAGGCTCCTTTCTCATGGAGTTGCATTCCATGGAATAATTCAAGGAATATGAGTGGCTCTGGGTTTGCCCTTTTAGCATGAAGCTGTTTAAAACCCCACAAAAGCCTGGGAAGGATCTCTGCCTCTGAGCTCTGTGTTCCCCGGACGGTTTGTGGGGCATTTTCCTGGCTGTGGGAACAGAGCCATGACCAACTCACTCCAGGGAAGGACCCTCAGCAAGAATTCCTGTGAGAGGTTTTAATCATCAAATTTATGGACCAGGCTCCAGTTCAAGCCCTGGAGATACTTCAGAGTCAATGAAAAGAGAATTCTTCTCCCAAGAAGGATTTTGCTTGAGTCAAACTGCTCCCAGTTTTTTGGATTTTGTGCCCCCCTTCTCATCTTTAATCCACGTACAACAGTTTAAAAGTGGGGAAGGGGAATTGCCTGACAAGGGAATCGATGGAAAAGGAGATGCTGAAGCACCTGAGGGGATTTAGGGCCAGAAATGGCAATTACAGTGAGCACCTGAGGAAGAGAGCAGGAGATCAGCTCTGGGATCCTGCACTGCTGTCCTGGGGCTGGAAGCTTTTCCTGCCAGGATATTTCTGCATCTCAGACTCGACCATTTCTCATCCCAGCAAGGCAGGAGAGGTAATTCCCATTTCCAGCACTTTCCTTTTTTAAAGCAATGATCCAAAGGGAGGAGTTAGAGATGCTGCAAAACCCACGAGCTCTCCCCGGGAAGGGAAAGACCCCAATTGTTCCTGGGTTTGTGGAGATCCATCCCCTCCCTCCTCCCGCCTCATTCATTGCTCTAATTACCCACAGAAATTAACTCAACAATAGCATTTCGTAATTAATTCCCTGTAACAACAAAGCAACTTGGGAATAGGAAATTGGAAGAAATAGAAATGTAATTATTGCCTGTGCTTCCTTTTCTGCACCTGGTGCTGGGGAACAAAGCAGAGCTGTGGGAGTGGGGCTTTGGACTGGGCTTTGTGTTGTTTTGGTCCCATCTGAGATGTTTCCAGTTTGCCTTCGTGACCCTGGGGCTTTGCATTTGCTTTTTCTGTCTGGCCTCTGCCATTGTTGCATTGTCAGCCAGTGTCTCACTCTCTGCAATCCCTAACTGAGCTTAAAATTCTCTTTACAGCATTTTTCAAGGGAAACTCTCATGGAAATAAAAGGTTTCGGGGGAAAAAAAACAAAACAAAAAAAAAAACAAACAAACTCTGTGTGGCAATGGAATTGTTCTAGAAAGCTGAATTTTGTCACCTTACAAATTTGTTCAATGTGGCTTCCTGCCTGCCACAGAAGGAGGATTCCTCCTCAAAGCTGATGCTTCCATGCAAACTTGGTGGCTTTTCTTTTTCCTTCCCAGCAAGTTGTGAACGTGTTAAAAGCAGAACTCTTTTTTATTCAGAGATTTCTTGAAAATACAGCAGAAATTTTGCAGGAGTGTTTTCTTGGTTAAATGGTCCCCCTACATCCCCCGTGTCCCCTGTCCCTGACACAGTTCTTGTCCCCCCACATCCCCCATGTCCCCTGTCCCTTCTGCAGTTCTTGTCCCCCCATATCCCCATGTCCCCATGTATCCCCATGTCCCTATGTCCCCTGTCCCTGACACAGCTCTTGTCCCCCCACATCCCCCACATCCCCGTGTCCCCTGTCCCTGACAGATTTCTTGTCCCCACACATTCCCCCATGTCCCCCTGTGTCCACCATATCCCCATGTCCCCTACCCCTTACGCAATTCTTGACCCCCATTTTCCCCACATCCCCCATATCCCCATGTCCCCGTGTCCCCTGTCCCTAACACAGTTCTCATCCCCCCACATCCCCCACATTCCCCATGTCCCCTGTCCCTGTCCCTGACACGGCTCTCTCCGCAGACGTGGAGCGCGGCGGGGACGTGGCGCTGTACTCGGGGCTGGCGGCGGCGGTGCTGGCGGTGGCCGTGCTGGCGCTGGGGGTGACCCTGTACCGGCGCAGTCAGAGTGAGTACGGCGTGGATGTCATTGATTCCTCTGCACTCACGGGAGGCTTCCAGACTTTTAATTTTAAAACAGTCAGACAAGGTTAGTGCGGCGATTTCCTTTCTTCTCTGCAGAGCTCCCGCTGCTCAGGCTCGCCTGCGTTCGGGGAGGGGTTTGGGGCAGCCAGGGCAGGGACAGCGACCTGGAATTGGCTCTGCTCTGGCCCACAAACACAGGATCCTCCTTGGCCACACTCCAGATGCTTTAGGAGTGCTGTCCAGCATCCAAAATCGCCATGTCCCTTCCAAAATCCCCACATCCCTTCCAAAATCCCCATGTCCCTTCCAAAATCGCCATGTCCCTTCCAAAATCCCTATATCCCTTCCAAAATCCCCACGTCCCTTCCAAAATCTCCATATCCCTTCCAAAATCACCATGTCCCTTCCAAAATTGCCATGTCCCTTCCAAAATCCCCACGTCCCTTTCAAAATCGCCATGTCCCTTCCAAAATCCCCACGTCCCTTCCAAAATCCCCACGTCCCTTCCAAAATCCGCGTGTCCCTTCCAAAATCCCCAGCTCCTACACTGATTTAGGAAAAGCTCAAATTAAAGCAAAGCAACCGAATCAGAGCAAGCCCAGGCACCACAGCTGGAGCTCCTCCTGTTCTCAGTTACAGAGCTTTCCTTCCCTCCAATAAAAGGAATTATTCTTTTCCTGATAATCTCAGCCCCCCAGCTGGAAGTGTTTTGTAAGCTGCTGTAACACAGGCACTGAGGGAAATCAATGTGTGTAAGACTGGACTCCTAAAGCTCTAGAAAACACCACCAGTGCCATAAAATATGGACAAAACCTTTACTAAAAGCAGCTCTCAGGTTTCCAGGAATGTTATTCCCTCTGAACAGGAAGGTGGGGAGGGAGAGAAGCGGGGATGAAAGCAGGATGTTTATTGATTCTGTGCTGCCATTCTACCTCAGACCTGCCTGATTGTGGGTGGGTGGGAGCGTGGGCAGGGTGTGAAAGTGTCCCCATGTCTCTGTTCTCTCTTCAGAAAAGGGAAATATGTTGCAGAGTTTGTTTGGGGGGGTTTTGTGGGGTTGTTTTTACAGTTTCTTTATTTCCTGAAGACGTTCCTCACCAAGCATGACTTGCAAGAAATTGGCAAAAGGGCTTGGCAGACAAGGACGTTTGAAGGAAGTTCATTCATCCATTTCTAAATCCAAACCTTTAATTAGGGCTGTGTAAATCTCAATGACTGTCTCAAACAAGAATGTTTTCCTTTGTGGTTCAGTTTGAATCTTGTTTTGCGTCTGGGGAATTGTTTGCTTGGCTTAATGCTTAAAACCGTTCATTCTGGATGCTCTGAAAATTCCCAACTAAACAAAGAAAAAGACCCCACCACAAAACCAAGCAGCCAGAGGACTCAGGCCCTAAATCCACGCACTCCTCATTTTTCAGAGTGTTTTCTGAGGCAAAACACCTCAAAATGAATAACTGTGGTGTCTTCCCTGTATCACTCTTGTCCCACCTCCCTTTCAGCCCAGTTTCCCTCAGGCACGGAGTTGTGGGTTTGTGTAAAAGGTCTGCAGGAAGATGTTGTCACCCAGTGGGGTTTAATGTAAGGAAAGAAAACAACAAGGGAGGCAAAAGGACAAACACACAGACGTGAATCCCAACCAAAGGAGGCTCCTCCTTGGATTATTCTGCACTCTGGAGCTGCCTGAGGCGTGCCAAACACAGAGTGTCAGATTTTGGGCTCTGAGAGCTCGGGGAGGGTGGCAGGATTGCTGAGGTGTCCCCTCCATGCCTGCTGCTGTCCCCACAGGTAACTCCCTGCTGCTGAACTCGTCCCTGCAGCCCGAGCTGACGGTCAGCAGGACCTACAGCGGCCCCATCTGCCTGCAGGACCCCCTGGACAAGGAGCTGATGACCGAGTCCTCCCTCTTCAACCCCCTGGCCGACATCAAGGTCAAGGTGCAGAGCTCCTTCATGGTGTCCCTGGGTGTCACCGAGAGGGCCGAGTACCACGGCAAGGCCCACCCTGGCACCTTCCCCCACGGCAGCCCCAGGCCCTTCGGGAGCATCCAGGCCAGGAACAAGGCCATGTTCATCCAGAACCTGGCCTCCATCTCCAGCAGCAGCGAGCTCAGGAGCACGGCCCTGTTCGGGCACCTGGGGGGTCGCTTGGTGGTCCCCAACACAGGTGGGTGGCTTCTTTACCATCAAAGCACATAAAGGAATTTCAGATGAGGCTGCCTGATGTAGTGTTTTATAACTGATTTTTTTTTTAAAAAATGAATTTTAAAAAAAAAAGAAGTAGGGGCCCCGTTAATGCAAATTTTGGAAGTAGGGCACGTTGCCCACACAGGACACGAGTGATCAGAGGGAAGCCTGGGCTGAGGACTGAAGAGGCATTATGCCTGTTTGAACTGTTTTAAATTACTGCCTCTCTTGATGTCTTCAGCATGAAAGTCACATTAATCAAAGCTGTGCCTTGCTTGGATGCTGCTCCAACGGAGAGGCTCCCCGGGAAGGGTCGGCCCTGGATCTTACATAAAGGGCTCACGTTCCAGCAGCAGCTCCAGCCCCACAGCCCTGGGGGACACAGGGACAGCAGCCAGGCCCGGGGACAGCCCCACTGCCCAGCTCCTGCCCCTCCTGCCTGCCTGTGTTCCCCTTTCTTGGAGCAAAAAGCTCCCCAGATTCTCACAGCAGGGCCCCTGTCCCAGGCTGAAATGCTCCCTGTGCTTTGTGACAGGAGTTTTGTGACCTTGGGGCTTTGTGGGGTGTTTCAGACCTGCAGGGTTGTTTGTGGAATGAGCTGAACAGCAGATCAGAGGCTGGCAGGGTCACAGCCCAGCTGTGTTTGCATCCCCCAAATCCCAGCCCTTACCCTGGGTGTTTTCTCTCCCCAAAAAGGCAGCACAAAAAGCCAGATGCCCCATTGCCAGCTCGGTGTTATCATCCTTCAACTCCAGTGATATTTATTCACTTTAAATTCAGCTCTGTTTTCGTTTGAGCAGTGGCTCCAGGATTATCTGCTGCTCTCTGGTTGAACTGGATGATTTAGAGCTTTATCCTTCATGTCCCACAAAACGGGTGCTTTAAAGGTTACCATAAAAAACGTGGTTTGTGTTTAGAGAGGATTGATAACAGTGACAACCCAGGCATGCACAACGTGGGGAATGTTTTCATTTCTCCACAGACTGGTTTTGTGCTGAGGAAGGAACATTGCAGAGGCACAAAGTTAAGGCATGAATTAAGAATTCCCTCATACTGTATATTTAGCTACTTTATGTAATGATAGTCCCATCAATTAGATTATTAAAATATGTATTTGGTCCACTTGAAATTTATGTAATCCTTGCTGCCTTTATGTAAGATCAGCTGTGCCAAGCAGTTGTAAATTCCAGTGTGATCGAGTCAGTGCCTCACCAAGGCTCTGCATCGTATGACAGATGCAAAGCCAAACACATCCCCCCTCTCCTGAGAGTGAGATAAAGCAGTTTAATTGCAGTGGTACCCGGTGGAAAACTGCCCTGTTAACTTCTGATCCACTCTGGTGGTGTGGAAGGAGAATGGGATCACTTGCAAGAGCTGGGATGTGTGGGGACAAGGGGGGATCACCCTCTCCATGAGGAGATTCCCTGGGATCCCACAATGTGGGATTTCAAAAAGGAAAGAGCTTCCAACAGGCTTTTTGGGGAATAAGATGTCTTTTCCTTTAATGGAAAAGCATTAGCTTTATTTCCTTTGCTAGTTTGTGTTCCTTTGTGAGAAGAGGAATGCAGAGGAACATTCCCTCAGGGCTGCTCCCTGTCCCTGACACCCCTGCCCTTCCCAAGGGTCAGCCCTGCCCTCGCTCTTTTCCAGGGGTCAGTCTGTTGATTCCACACGGGGCAATTCCAGAGGAGAGCTCCTGGGAAATCTACCTGGCCATCACCCAGAAGGAGTCCAGGTGAGAGATCCGGGGTCATGGCTCTGCCTCCCTTAACGGGTTTGGGGTGGGACATGCAGGAGCCACTCCTGTCCCCACTGCTGGGGTCACCACCCTGCTGGCACCCTGAGAGGGACACAAAAATGGCCTTGGAGTGCTGTTCCTGTGGAACCCTTGGAATTCTTGTGCCTGCTGCTCCTTTCTCCTCTCCCTGCTCAGGAGGAGCTCAGCACCTCGGGCTCTGGGGTGCTTTGAGATTTTTTTAGCCTGATAATCCTACAGACACTTGGAAGCACCGAGGCTTCAGCAGAATTTATTATTGTGGCACTTGAGGAAGGAAAAAAAGGAATTGGCCATTTTTTGTTACCCTGTTGTGCCTTTTTCCCCTCCCCTGCAGTCTCCCTCTCACCAACACTTGTCCACACAGACTGGAACATTCCAGCCTCTCTTTAGCAGGAATAGGGGTTGGAAAGGGAATTTTCTGGGCACCCACAGCTACAGCTCCACGTCAGGGTGTCAGCACGGGCACTGGAATGGGGTACCCAAGTCACCTGGGGCTTTTCCCCTTTTTATATCCTGGTTTTATTCTTGTACCTTCTTGTTTTTACATTGTTTGAGATTCTTTCCCTAATTTTTACCTTGGTTGAGGTTCCTCTTCTTATTTTTTATCTTGGAAACACCATTTGCTTTCATTTGAAGAGGGAACTGCACACCCAGTGATTTAGAAACCAGTCATGGGGATCACACCACCCAAATGGATTAAAATACAACCAAACAGCAGCAAAACCAGCAGGACAAGAGGTTTCAATTGCTGCTTCAGTGTCCAAGGGATTCTCCTCCACTCTGGCACCGCTCCTGCCCAGGGATTTATTCCAAGAGATACAGAAATCACTTGGGTGTGGGAGTGGGTCCAGTTTGTTGGAGTGGGAGAGAAGAGAAGCAGATTCCACATCTCTGGAAGGCAGCAGGCAGGGGATGGAGCATTAATTGAGCCCAGGAGAATCCCTGGAGCTCAGGCGGGATCTCCCCTGCCTGTCCCCGAGCCACAGCCACGGCTCCACCTGGCCCAGCCCTAATTCCAAGCACAGCCCTGTCCCTGAGTCTGTAAAAGTCACGGAGCTCCTTCCTCCTGCAGAATGCAAATGGGTTTTCAAAGCAGGGAGATCGCACTCAATCTGGAAGAATTTATGAGCCTGTGTTTTTTAAGCCATAATTTGTTTTATCTTCGCTCTCGCGAAAATATTGTTGATGGCAGCGTTTGAAGGCAGAGCACGGCGGGGACGGGACCAGCTGGAGCTGGGCTGGCTGGCACAGAGCAATTTCAGTGCTGGATTTGGGTTAAACAAATTGAAACGTACTTTAAATACCAGAGTCCTAAACTGACCGGCCGCTGATTGGAGTTAGATGGGGTCTAATGGGTTTGTTTCATCTCCAGCTGCTGCTTCCACGTGAAACGAGCAGAAATGAGCAGATGAGGGAGGTGCTTGGATTTGAACTGAAATCTTTTCAGTGAATTCTCACTCCTGACAGCCACTCTTGTCTTTGCTGCCCCAAGCCTGGAGCCGGAGGGCCCCGAGGTGCTGCTGGGGCCCGAGGTGAGCTGCGGGCCCCCCGAGCTGGCCGTGAGCACCCCGTGCGCCCTGAGCATCCCGCACTGCGCCCACGCCGACCCCCAGCACTGGAGCATCCACCTCAAAAGGAGGACCCAGCAGGGCAAGTGGGAGGTAAGCCCAGCCCCAGCCCGTGGAAATGGAGTTAACTCTTGGTTGTGCAGAGATTCTGGCAGGGATAGATGCAGAGAAACACGTGGGAGAAACAATCACGGCGAAAAAACTTTGTGTTTTGTGAAGAAGCAGCAGAATTGGTTTTGGGTATTTCACCAAGATGTGCAGGAGTTTATGGGTACAAAGCTCAGCCATGGATCCCATGGCTGCAGCCTGTCCTTCTGTCCTGTCCCCCTCTGAGCCCCTGCCTGGGTTTTGCTGAGTTTTAAACCATTCCCAGCCCCATTTTCCTGATTCACATTTACTCAGTCCTTGGGCAGCTCCAGTCCTTGGGCAGCTCCTTGGGCCTCAGACAGCCTGGGTCACTGAGGAGAGGGACAGAGGGACACAGGGACAGAGGGACACAGGGACATGGGGACACAGAGCAGGACTGAGCAGCAGAGGCAGAGCAGAGGGAGTTTTTGAGGAAGGGAAACGTGGCTGTAATGGGTGTTCTGGAAGGAAGTCAAACCCCAGCCATTGTTCAAGGTTTGCTTATTGACTTTAACCTTCAAGGTAATTTTTTAACTTGACACTGGGGAGAAAAAATTAGCCAGAAAGTCAAGAGCACTTGAAAAAAGCTGCTAAAATTGCTTAGGCATCATATTATTATTGTATGTACACAGCGAGCTCTGTGCAGGGCATGGCCATAAATCCTCCTGCTGACTCAGGGCTAAATTGGGAATATTTACTCAGGGAAGCAGTCCCCCTTCTCCCCTTCCCTGAGAGTGCAGCCTGGCTCCCAGCAACACTCTGCATTCCAGTTGAATAAAAATAAAGAATTAATGCCATGACTCCTATTGTCGAGGCCTATTGATTCGACTTCGCTTTATTCTCTTTAAACCTGAATTTCATTTTGCAGGAAGTGATGTCTGTGGAAGAGGAAACTACTTCTTGCTACTGCCTGTTGGATCCTTATGCCTGTCACATTCTCTTAAACAGCTTTGGAACTTATGCCCTAATTGGGGAACCCATCTCAGACTGCGCCGTTCGACAGCTGAAAGTCGCCGTTTTTGGCTGCCTGTCTTGCAATTCTCTGGATTACAATCTGAGGGTTTATTGTGTGGATAACACCCCTTGTGCATTCCAGGTAAATGGCTTTGCTTTGCTCCTCTGGGCTTGCTTTGTTTTCCCATTAAATCCTTTTACTCCCTGGGCATCCCCAGCCTTAACCCAATGAGAATAGTGGATTTTTTTAAGCACCGCTGCACCATTAGAATAAATCCCTTAAATTCCCTGCAATTGTGGATTTACACTGAGAGCTCTAGGGCAGCCAAAGTTTCTTGTTTGCTCTCTCATTTTTTGCCACATTCTCAGCTACCCAAACTCACCCAGCCCTAGTTTACAAAAATTCAATTATCCTGCATTTCCTTAAAAAAAAAAAGCCAAATCCCTGGCTTTGGAATGAGAATGATTTTCCTGCACCAGAGTTCCAGGACACAACAATGACACTCTCTGGCTTTTGGTAAACTCAGGAGCTTTAACAAAACGCTGCTCTTTGGGGAACTGAAATGCAAACAGTTGTGAGGTGAATTTTTCTTTCTTGCTGTGGCACAGGAATGGAAACACGGCTCTGACTGGAGCTGCTGCTTCCGTGCTTCCAATAAAAGCTTCTAATAAAAGCCAAGGCACCAAAAGGATTGTTAGAGGCTCACAATGGCTTCCTAATTACCCTCTTTATAACACTTAGACAATTAGTGGGTGCCGGTGTCTTCCTGATGAGTCTGGAGGAAATGATCAGAAGAATAATTACCAGTTCTCTGCCTTGCCAGGAGTGAGCAGGGTGTGTGCAGACACTGAGACAGCCGAGTTGGTGGAGAGAGGCAGCCCTGAGAGCAAGGCACGATGAGTGGGGAGCACGGGGAATTTCAGAGGGGTTTGGGATAAAATATGGCAAATTTCAGAGTCGTTTGGGATAAAATATGGCAAATTTCAGAGGTTTTTTGATAAAATATGGGGAATTTCAGAGGATTTTGGATAAAATATGGGGAATTTCAGAGGTTTTGCGATAAAATATGGTGAATTTCAGAGGATTTTGGATAAAATATGGCGAATTAAAGAGGCTTGTGGACAAAATACGGCAAATTACAGAGATTTTTGGACAAAATATGGCAAATTTCAGAGGATTTTGGATAAAATATGGTGAATTACAGAGGTTTGGGATAAAATATGGGGAATTTCAGAGGTTTTTGGATGAAAGATGGGAAATTTCAGAGGTTTTGGGATAAAATATGAGGAATTTCAGAGGGTTTTGGACGAAATATAGGGAATTTTAGAGGGTTTTAGATGAAATATAGGGAATTTCAGAGGTTTTTGAATGAAATATGGCAAATTTCACAGGTTTTTGGATGAAACATTTTGGATAAAATATGGTGAATTACAGAGGTTTGGGATAAAATATGGGGAATTTCAGAGGTTTTTGAAAAAAACATGGCAAATTTCACAGGTTTTTGGATGAAACATGGGGAGTTTCACAGGTTTTGGGATAAAGTATGGGGAATTTCAGAGGTTTTTGGATATAATATGGTGAATTACAGAGCTTGGGATAAAATATGGGGAATTTCACAGGTTTGGGGATAAAATACGGCAAATTACAGAGATACTTGGACAAAATATGGGGAATTTCAGAGGTTTTTGAAAAAAACATGGCAAATTTCACAGGTTTTTGGATGAAACATGGGGAATTTCACAGGTTTTGGGATAAAATATGGCAAATTACAGAGATTTTTGGACAAAATATGGCAAATTTCAGAGGATTTTGGATAAAATATGGTGAATTTCAGAGGTTTTTGGATAAAACATGGGGAATTTCACAGGTCTTCTGATAAAATATGGGGAATTTCAGAGGTTTTTGGATAAAATATGGGGAATTTCACACGTTTTTGGATAAAATATGGGGAATTGCAGAGGTTTGTGGATGAAATATGGGAAATTACAGAGATTTTTGAATAAAATATGTGGAATGTCAGAGGTTTTTGGATAAAATATGGTGAATTACAGAGGTTTTGGATAAAATATGGGGAATTACAGAGGTTTTGGATAAAATATCGGAGTTGGGTTGCCAAGTGGTGCTTGGCAGTTAATCCTGCACAGTGCAGGTTTATGTAAGAGACAAAATTCCCTTGGTTTTGACTTTTTGCCTGGCTGAAAATTCTCCTCGCTCCTCCAGCAGCTGCTTTGGGCCTTTGGGAAGTTCTGAGTGTGCTGGAAACTCCTGGCTCTCAAAATTGAAGAGACCCAGGTCCTTTTGGTGTTTTACCCCAGTGCTGCTGCTGGAGGAGTCCCAGGTGTGTCACTGAAGGCAGAGCAGCACTCACAGAACATTCAAAACCATCCAACATTCTCCAGAAATTCTGAGAATAGTTAAGAAATAATCTGCTCCCTCTGTGGCTGGAAACCAAAAACTAAAGTCTCCCATTTTTTTCCTTCATACGAACCCAACCACCAGGGGTTAAACCAACCTAAATGCCTGGAAAAATCAGTTTATAATAGAAATCCATTAGTGCAGTTTCAGAGAGCTGGAGCATTGAATTTGCAGAAGGTCACAGTGATTCCAGGAGCTCCTCTAATGACAACTTTGGTCCTGACAAGCACTAAACCCCCGGATGGACACACATTTGATATAATTTATGTGGATTGAGAAAGGTAATTTGGAAGCACTGCTTGCCTGCTGATTTTTAAAGACTTCTGCAACCTTTCCTCCCTCGCTGGTGTTTTTATTGCAGCAGCACAGGAATAAACATTGCTCAAGTACCGGCAGGGGTGATTTTTTTTTTTGCCGTTGTGTTTTAAATTCACCGAATTTCATAAAAATTTCTCTTGGAGCAGAGCTCTGGAGGGCTGTAGTGCAAACCCCTGCCCAGAGTCTGCCCTTCACACTGCTCAGGGTCTTGTCCAGTGATTCTGGAAGTGCCCCTGAGGTGGGAAATGGAAGTGAATGATTTCACCTGAAGCATTTAAGGGCTCTGAAAAGCCCTGAGAGAAGTTCCCCAGCTGTGCTGGCCTGCACTGGGGGTGTTGGAGAGCCAAAAATTCAGTGTCCAACCAGCACTATCTGTCCAGAAATGGGGCTGGCAGTGCCCAAACCCAGCCTTCTGGGAAATATCAATATCAAATATTTATAAATATAAACACCATCAGCTGCCCACGAGAGAGACTCCACTGTGCATTCCACTGGGGGGGAACCTGAGACCCCCACAGAGAGGGATTCTCACTGGATTTGGGGTTTGTTCCTGATACTGGAAATATTCTCTCCTCCTCCCTTGCAGGAAGTGGTTTCAGATGAAAGACTCCAAGGGGGACAATTGCTGGAGGAACCCAAACTTCTGCATTTTAAAGGCAACACCTGCAGCCTCCAGATCTCAGTGCTGGATGTGCCTCCCTTCCTGTGGAGAATCAAACCCTTCACTGCCTGTCAGGTACCTGGCATTTCACCGCTTCCCTCTGCACTGGGGAAAAAAACCCAAATGAACCAAGGTTCCTTTGATTTAAAAAGCTTTAACCCCCCCCGAGCATTTAACAAAAACATGTTGCCTTTTGATTCTGACAAACACAGATTTCGTTTACACCAGAATGCTGCAAATTTGTCATTTTACAGAAATGCTTGTGCTTTCCCCCATTTCAGTTGCCTCCAACAGAAGGCAAATATTCCTGCTCAAACTTAACCACTCCTCAAGATGTTTCTAATATGTGTCATTCCAGTTTTGATATAACTATGGAAATATGGCTCAAAGTGACATTTAAATGTAACCATGAGTTCAACTCACAGCACGCAGAGAGCAAGCATTAGAACTGAAGGGCAGCAAATTGGTTTTTCTCTTCTCCATTAATTAGAGAGGCTGTTGAAAACCGAAAAGGAAAAATCAAAACAAAAGAAGAATTTCCAAGGATTCTGATGACTGGAAATCCTAAGGAATGTGCTGGCACATGGAGTGGGCTGGTTTTAAAACACAGCACTCAATTAGAATGTACAATCTCCCTTCTCCCAGAAGCAGAGACAGTTTTGCATCCTCCAGGATTTTGGCAAAAACCCTGTTTTAAATGTGTTGCCACGTTCCCCAAAACATGAGGGTAATGGGCTCTGAAAGTTATAAACACAGAGGCAGAGCCAGAGCAAGCCTCTCCTCGTTAACAACGTGGGGATAATTTGGGCTACAACTTAAGAAATGAAATAAATTAATTCTTTTCAGCTTCTTAGGGAGAAGAGCTTTTGGGTGTTTAGCTTGTTCTTCTCACTCACCTGTTTTTTAAAAGCCAAACCAAGCAGGGTTAGGATGTCCCAGTCCTGCCAGTGTGTGCCCAAAAGAAAATCAAATCAGAGGAGTTTCCTCTTAATGCAACAAATTCACTTCTGCCCTCAGCAGATTATAGAGCTCCACACTTTGATTATTTTATTGTCTCCTAATCCCTTCTCCAAACACGAAGAATAAATGTCTGGAATTCAACCTCCAAGTGCCACTTCGAGCCTGATCAGAGCAGGAGCTTGGGGCTGGAAAAAGCCTGTGCCAAACCTCTGCTGCCAGAATGGGCTGACCAGGGCTGCCCTGACCCAGAGGAAAATTTCCATTTCATAACTGGTGTAACTGGGATGGCTTGGGCAGCTCAGAAACACAATCACTGCTCCTCACAGGAGCTGCAGAACCTCCCCTGGCTCGGTGCTTCCCTCGCAGTGAAAAGTCTGGTGACAGCTCTGGTTTGCTTCCAGCCTCTTTATAGAGAAAAGGATCTATTTTTGCACGTGGAGTTTCTTCCAGTGTTCCCTGGGTTCCTCTCCTACATCCCACCCTGTGAGAGCAGCTGCTTGTGCTGCCTGGCAGGAACAACTGAACACAGGCTGTTCCAGGAATGTCTCTGGTCCAGCAGCAGAGCCTCCCCGGGCAGCGTGGGGAGGAGGATTTATGGAAATGATGTCTCAGACAAGCAGCAATCCCACTCTGAGGCCGAGCAGATGAATAAATCACACTGAGGAGCTGCTGGAAGGCAGCTGGTGGCAGGTGGCACCAGGATTCCTGCAGATCCTGCTCAGAGCCTGTGTTTGTCCTGGCCTGGCACGAGCAGCTGCCCAGGGCTTGGCTCCCTTCCCGCAGGGGATCCCTGCAAGCTGTGGGTGGTGCAGGCAGAGCAGGGATGGGCATGGCAGGAGCTGGGCAGGCACCTCTGGCTGCTCAAATCTGCCTCCCATCCTGCATCTCCCGGAGGATCCAGCTCTGCCTGGGGCCATGAGATGATTTACAGCCCCTCTGTCTGCAAGGAGCTTAATTATAAACTCAGAGTGGAGCTGAAAGCATCCTGGAATACTCCAACCACTCATTGTTCCAGCACTCCTTGCTGCTCTGCTTTGTTTCACACAACTCCTTTCAGCTGACTGATTCTTCCACTCAGAGTGAAAGCAGAGATCATCACCCTGAAAAAAATCTAATTACAGTTGCTCCACTTCTAACATTTTACTAATGCTTCCTTATCACTGGGAGCATCTTACTACTGCTGCTGGGGATCCAGCCTGGGGACAGGCAGGGAGCTGGGGACAGAGGGAAGGGCCAGGGCAGTTCCTGGTGGGAAGTTCCTTTGGGATGGAGAAGGGAGGGCTGGCAGGGCCAGGGCAGTTCCTGGTGGGAAGTTCCTTTGGGATGGCAGGGCCAGGGCAGTTCCTGGTGGGAAGTTCCTTTGGGATTGAGGAGGGAAGGCTGGCAGGGCCAGGGAAGATCCTTTGGGATGGAGAAGGGAAGGCTGCCAGGGCCAGGGAAGTTCCTTTGGGATTGAGGAAGGAAGGCTGGCAGGGCCAGGGCAGTTCCTTTGGGATTGAGGAAGGAAGGCTGGCAGGGCCAGGGCAGTTCCTTTGGGATGGAGAAGGGAAGGCTGGCAGGGCCAGGGCAGTTCTCAGTGGGAAGCTCCTTTCCTTGGATTCTGGTTACAAGGTGATTCCAAGGAGACACAGGAATCCTGATCCTGGCAAGGGGGAGGAAGTGAAATGCGTCTTTTTGAAGTCTCTTTAAGCATCTTTTGTAAGAGTCTCTCGTTACTTGTTCTCCTGAGCTCTTGGTCACTGCCACACCTCAATTCCATCTTTTTTATAACCCAATCCTCATTTTTTGGTTTGGTTGGAGATGCAGGGGCCGTTACCGAGCTCACCCCATCAGAGCAGCACTGGCTGTGTCCCCCCTGGCCGTGTCCCCGTCCCTGACGTGTCCCTGTCCCACAGGAGGTGCCGTTCTCCCGCGTGTGGCGCGGCAGCCCCCGGCCCCTGCTCGGCGCCTTCTCCCTGGAGCGCTTCAGCCCCGCCACCACCCAGCTGTGCTGCACCGTGTGCGTCAGGCAGCTGCAGGGCCACGAGCAGCTGCTGCACGTGCAGACCTCCATCCTCGAGGTACGGCCACCAGCACCCCCTGCTCTGTAGGGCACCATGGTCACAGAACAGAATCCTGGGGTGGTTGGGTTGGGTTGGGTTGGGTTGGGTTGGGTTGGGTTGAGGTCAGGTTAGGTTGGGTTGGGTTGGGTTGGGTTGAGTTGAGTTGGGTTGTGCTGGGTTGGGTTGAGTTGAGTTGGGTTGCGATGAGATGGATGCATTGGGTTGGGTTGGGTTGGGTTGAGTTGGGTTGAGTTGAGTTGGGTTGGGTTGGGTTGAGTTGAGTTGGGTTGGGTTGGGGTGGCTTGGAAAGGTCTTAAAGCCCATGCAGTCCCACCCCTGCCATGGGCAGAGCCACCTTCCACCATCCCACCCCTTGGACCCTCCCAGGGGTGGGGCACCACCTCTCTGCGCACCGGTTCTCTCCCCGGTTGTGTCCTTTCCTCCTCCTGTAGTTTTTGCTCAAAGCTGGAAGCAGTCTTTAAAGCCTTGCAGATCCCATTTCCAGCAGAAATCAAGGCACAGAGAGAGACTCTGCAGCACCAACAATAATTTATCAATAATTTAATGATTCATTGTTTGGGTTGGTGGCTGCTGTTTCCTAGCAAGAAGCCCTTGTAGAGCACTAAGGACTGGGGACAGGGGTACAAACTCTGTCTTGTGGGGACTGGGCCCTGCTCATGCTAAAAGAAACCAGACCTACAGCTGAGCAAGCTGCTGATGTGTCCCACAGCCATGAGAACTTCAGCAGCTGCATTTTTTTAGATTGTTGAGCATCTTTGTTCATTAATCCAGATTAATACTTCTGGATTAGAGCTCTACACCCCTAAATGCTCTGAGCAGGGAGTGCAGCAGCTGGACAAGAGCATCATGAACATCATCCTGTGTAAAAACTCCTCAGGACTGGCCGAGTGTTTTCTGCTCCTCTGTTGTTATTTCATAAAACCCTCTGTCACCCTCTGTGTCTCCAGCCCGTGTTGCTGCTGCCTTGCTCTCCCTCTCTGCTGTGTTTTTAAGGGCCCTGTCTGCACACAAGTCCCCAGAGCATGTTCCCGTTCTGCTTCAAGCAGATTTGCTGCTGTGGAAGGCTTTCTCATGCCTATCTCCAGCAAGTGATTGAAGAGGGAGGATAATTTGACTGCAAAATAAATCTGTGAGTGACAACTCCCCCCCGGAGCCGCTCCGTGCGTGACAATCCCCGCAGCGCCTGGGTCGCTGTGCTTATCTCACACGTGCAAGGCAGGAGCTTCTCCTGCTCTGCATCCTGAGCAGAGCCCAGGGCAGAGCTGCAGCACCGGGTGCTGAGCCTGGCTGGCCCTGGGGGCCTGTCACAAACGGTGGATGGAGGCTGCACCGTGGCTGCTGGTTAATATTGATGCTGTGTCACTCTCCGATGAGTAATGCACTGAAATTTGACTCTGTTATGCAAGGCTGGTGTGATTCCACAGGAAAAGAGGGGCCAGATCCACAAAGGACCTGGATTCCAGAGAGGCTGGGAGAGCTGAGGTGCTTACAGAATTCAGGTGTTTAAAAACCCCAAAGAAAGAGAGAAACAAACACAAATTTGTGTGTCCGTGTTTCAGGTTTAAACAATTAAAGATTCAGAAACCCAGCACTGCTCTCCAACACAAAAATAACCAAAAAAGAAAACTCATGGAAGGAAAACCACCATTTTAAAGGGTTTTTTTTGCACAAGTCCTTGTGATGGTGAAGTAACACCTTCTAGGTGTTCTTTCACAACTCACAAAAGCACCTCTCAGCTCAGCCATTTTCTGCTGCCACTTCCACCGACCCGAGGCTTGATTCTCCCTTCCCTGCTTCGCTTTGCCGTTCCCTGCAGGCTGAGAGAGAAAACATCCCCTTCTTTGGCCACGAGGACAGCGCCTTCCCCGCCCAGCTGGGCCCCAAGGCCTTCAAGATCCCGCGCTCCATCCGCCAGCGCATCTGCGCCACCTTCGACGCGCCCGGCGCCAAGGGCAAGGACTGGCAGATGCTGGCCCAGAAGAACAGCATCAGCAGGTGATGGCAGCGCCCTGGCACCGGGGTTGGCACCCGAGATGGGGATTTGGGGCCGTTCAGGGGTTGTTGGTTGGTTGGTTTGCTGCTGTTGTCAGGGGTGTGGGTGGGAATTAGGGGCTGAGTGGGGCTCGGTCATTTCAGCTCCTCATGCTGGGCTGGACGTTCTTCTGTCCACCCTGAGGAGTCCAAGGCTGCAGAAGGATTTTGTCCATCATTGAACTGCTGTTCAAAGCCCTTAGGAGGCTGCACGTTCCCCCAGACAAATCCCCTTGGCTCTCATGGGTGCATTTCCTATTCCAAAATGAATCCTGCAGATTTTTTTTTTTTTAAGGGAAAGACATCTTTAAAAGAGACAGTCATGCTCTACTGTTAGGAGTAATAATATTATGATTATTAAAACTGAAAGATGCTGTAAAAACCAATTTACTTCTTACTTTGCTTTTTCTGCTTGGCTAAATTAAATTGGCGGAGGCAGCTTCCTCACAAAAATATTTTCTGATTGTCACAAACTCTATAAATGCGTTCCCAGGAGAGCAGAGGAATACTTAAATCAAGCAAAGTAACTTTCCATTGGCTTCCTGCTTTGTGTGGGAGCCTCAATAAGCCACATCTGAGCCAAAGGAAAAAGAGTTTTGGATAAACACTTTGTTTTACTAAATTCTGTGCAAATCACCACTGCAGGGTGCTAAAAACAGCACATTAGCAAAATAGAAAATCACAGATAAAAGGCGTTGTGTCTTTGCACAACCCAAGCATCACCTGCTGTAAATTCCTCTCCCTGTCACATCCCTGCTGTATTTCCTAGTGATGCTTCCCAGAAGGGATTTGTTTGCCCATCCCAGGGGCAGAACTGCTGGGCCTGGGGACACCCTGGGCTCGTGGTCGCTGTCCCTGTGCCAGGCTGGGCAGGTGCCACACCCCAGGCTCGTGGTCACTGTCCCTGTGCCAGCTGGGCAGGTGCCACGTGAGGAACCACCACCCCCAGCGGCTCCTCAGCTCATCCCCAGCTCTGCTGGAGGGTTTTTATTTTCCAAACACGTGGATGGTGCTGGGCACAGGGCACAGCTGCAGCGTCGGCTGCTCCTCATCCCCTTTTCCCTCCCTACCCTGCAGGAATCTCTTCTCCTTCCTCATCCCCTTTTCCTCCTTTCCCTACAGGAATCTCTCCTTCTTCCTGATCCCTTTTTCCTCTGTTCCCTGCAGGAATCTCTCCTTATTCCTCATCCCCTTTTTCTCCTTTCCCTGCAAGAATCTCTCCTTCTTCCTCACTCCATTTTCTCTCCTTTCCCTGCAGGAATCTCTCTTCCTTCCTCACCCCTTTTCCTCCTTTCCCTGCAGGAATCTCTCCTTATTCCTCATCCCCTTTTCCCTCCCTACCCTGCAGGAATCTCTCCTCCTTCTTCACCCCTTTTCCTCCTTTCCCTGCAGGAATCTCTCTTTCTTCCTCATCCCTTTCTCCCTCCTTTCCCTGCAGGAATCTCTTCTCCTTCTTCATCCCTTTTCCTCCTTTCCCTGCAGGAATCTCTCCTTATCCTCATCCTTTTTTCCCTCCCTTCCCTGCAGGAATCTCTCCTCCTTCTTCACCCCTTTTCCTCCTTTCCCTGCAGGAATCTCTCTTTCTTCCTCATCCCTTTCTCCCTCCTTTCCCTGCAGGAATCTCTTCTCCTTCTTCATCCCTTTTCCTCCTTTCCCTGCAGGAATCTCTCCTCCTTCCTGATCCCTTTTCCTCTTTTCCCTGCAGGAATCTCTCATTTTTCCTAATCCCTTTCTCCCTCCCTCCCTTCCCTGCAGGAATATCTCCTCCTTCCTGATCCCTTTTTCTCTCCTTTCCCTGCGAGAATCTCGCCTTCTTCCTCATCCCTTTTCCTCCTTTCCCTGCAGGAATCTCTCCTTATTCCTAATCCCTTTCTCCCTCTCTTTCCCTTCAGGAATCTCTCCTTATTCCTAATCCCTTTCTCCCTCCATTCCCTGCAGGAATCTCTCCTCCTTCCTCATCCCTTTTTCTCTCCTTTCCCTGCAGGAATCTCTCCTTCCTCCTCACCCCATTTTCTCTCCTTTCCCTTCAGGAATCTCTCCTTATTCCTAATCCCTTTCTCCCTCCATTCCCTGCAGGAATCTCTCCTTATCCTTATCCTTTTTTTCCTCCCTTCCCTGCAGGAATCTCTCCTTCTTCCTCACCCCTTTTTCTCCTTTCCCTGCAGGAATTTCTCCTCCTTCCTGATCCCTTTTCCTCCTTTCCCTGCAGGAATCTCTCCTTTTTCCTAATCCCTTTCTCCCTCCCTTCCCTGCAAGAATCTCTCCTTCTTCCTCATCCCTTTTCCTCCTTTCCCTGCAGAAATCTCACCTCCTTCCTGATCCCTTTTCCTCCTTTCCCTGCAGGAATCTCTCCTTCTTTGCCACCCAGAGCAGCCCCTCCGCCGTCATCCTGGACCTGTGGGAGGCGCGGCACCAGCACGATGGGGACCTGGACTCGCTGGCCTGCGCCCTGGAGGAGATTGGCAGGACACACTCCAAGCCCTCCGAGGTGCCAGAGCCCGAGCTGGAGGAGCCCGAGTTCCCCTGCAGCAGGAAGGGGCTTTAGTCCCTCTGCCCCAGCAGGACACACAGCCAGCCCGGCCCTGAGCCCGGCCAGGAGGGTTGGTGGGGATGGAACTCACCCCACTTCCATGGCAGCGGGAGCAGCAGAAGCTAAAAACCCTCTGGTGATGAGGAAATCGAGCTCCTCCCTGTCCTCCTCCACTTAAAATCCATCTCTTGGTGCCCCAAACAAACCTGCACTCGTGTCAGTGCCGGGGCAGGAGGGAGAGAGACACAGAGCCATAGGAGGTAAATGTTATTCTGTGTTTAGGAACAGTCGTGTTCATGTACTGCCTAGTGAAAATCAACAAATAACGTTGGATATTTCGAGCCACTGGAGGCTGGTCCTGGTTAAAAGGTTTCTCGCTTTGAGAGTGGTTTAAAATCCTATCACGTTGTCACTTTATGTCTGCTACAGGAAAACTGAAAATTTGGCCTTATCCTGTTCAGATGTTTGAGGAATTAGAAGATCTCATAATTATTTCACATCGTTTGTATTCCAAATAATGTGTTTTAAAAATTCAGCCCCTTAATGAATGTACATTTGCTGCAGAGCTTTGCTGCCTGCTCTGTTACCAAAATTCCAGAACAAACCCCTTCTCTCTGAGACTGGGGGGTGGGCACACGCCAGAGGAATTTTCTAATTTTCTACGTCTGCAAACTTTCTTAGTCAAAAAACTGTCTTTGGGGGTGGATTTAAATAACCAAATAACACACAGGAAATTTCCAGCCCTATTTTAGCAAGTTGAGACATTTATTTTTGTTACTTCATTCTCTGTGGCTGAGCTGAAGGTGAAGGCAATCAGAACAGCTTCATTTTGGCTTGGTTTGGGTTCAGACTGAAATCACAAACCCCACACAGCCCTGCCAACACTGGCCTGGATTTTGTTGCACAATTTGGGAATTTCACAGGATCCAGAGCTGGTTGTGTTACCTTGGCTTAGTTACAAATTGCATTTACCCCCAAAATCAGGATCTAACTGCAGAATTCGCCTCGTTTTTCACCCATTCCATATAAATATGATTTATGACTTCGACCAAACCAAAAAGAGCTGTCACCGTGAGCGAGGGCCTGGTGGAGCTGGTACTGAGCCAAATGTCACCATTATTTTGTCCATTCCTTTCACTCACATCCTTCACCATAACCGAGGTGCTCCTCAGCCCATGGGGCTGCCAGGGCACAGTCAGGAGAGACAGGAGCAGAAACGAGGCTTTGGGAGCTTTGTGGAAATGCAGAAAACCCAACCCAAGGATTTGGGGGCTGTTTTAGCCTCGTGTTTGGCTGAGAGCATCACAACAGCCCCCAGGGCAGGTCCAGTCTGGAGCTGCTCCTCCACCCAGGACTGCAGTGTGAAAATCTGAACAACATCAACAGCAACAGCAACTCTGTCCTTGCTCCTGCTGCTCTGAAATCACCAATGTCACTGCCTGCCCAGCTCAGGAACAGGCTGAGACTTGGAAATCCTGAGACTTGGAAATCCTGAGACCTGTGCAAAGCTTTCCTGCAGCTCAGCACCTCCTGCAGCCTGGCAGGAAAGCTCCTGGCGCAGGTTTCGGGGCAGACAGAAATACCGGCTGCAAGCTGTCACTGCTTTCAGCAGCACATGCTCCTCCACTTCTATCTCCACTGACTGCCAGTCCTCCTCCAGAAACCTGTTCTTCGTTGGTCAAAATGTCAGGCATTAGAAAAAAAAAAAACAAAACAAGGGATGGCACTGGGGAAGCAGCAGAGTCTGCGAGCTGCCGTTGTCGGGGAAACCAGCCCCGCTCTGCCTGCAGCAGGGAGTTTGTTCTGAGCACCCAGAGCTTTCTGCTCCTGGAGCAGGCTGGGTTTGTGTCCCTGCAATGGCTGCAGGGGTTCCTGAGAGCCTTCTGCTCCTGGAGCAGGCTGGGTTTGTGTCCCCAGCACGGCTGCAGGGGTTCCTGAGAGCCTTCTGCTCCTGGAGCAGGCTGGGTTGTGTTCCCAGCACGGCTGCAGGGGTTCCTGAGAGCTGCTCTGCTCCACAGGAGCTGCCCCGACACCCCAAGGGGGCCCCAGAGCCGCAAAGGCTCAGCCCCTGCTCTTTCCTCAGGTTCTGTCCAGCCCTGGAGCTCTGCAGACCCTCCCAGTGCAGGACACCCCGCTCAGAGGGACCCAGCCCTGCCCCAGAATCCCAGTTCCACCCACAGTCCCACGGAGGTCGTGTCCTGAAAGGGAATAAATGTCCAAACTGGACAATTCCAGAGGGAAGCTGTTCCCCCGTGCCCGGGGCAGGGCTCAGCTGGACGCTGCCCTTTAGGTTTTTTTCCCTGGTATTTCTTCCCTTTGTTGCTGATTTCACTCTTTGAGAACCCTGAATCAACAACTCTCGAGCTTTCCTTCCAATTCCTGACTGCTTTGATGCTCTTGTGTTCTTCAAATGAACCAGAAATGCCCCAAATATTTATTTCCTTTCTCCCTTTCTCTTAAAAAGACCTTTTGGAAATCTGTGCACGTATTCATCTGGTTTGACCCAAAACACAGATGTGGAGGAGCACCTGGAAAAGGATTAGAGGCCAGAAATTAAAAATTCATTCCTTTCTTCTGTTGTATAAATTATGATAATTGAAAAACAATTTGCCCGAACTAGAAAGTAAAAGAAGGAGAAATGTGAATTTCCCCCCTGTAGATTCCACGTGGCTGCCCTGGCTCCATGCAGGGGAAAGAGCCATTCTGATTTTACATCACCAAAGAATCTGCTTTAATAGATTTTCATCTTCCTGAGCACTTTGCCCAGGTATTTCTGTGCCATGACTCATTGCAGACTAATGGCTGCATTTTAAAAATGACTCCCAGCTCCGCCAGCACCATAAAGCTCATTTCCATTTCGTACCGCCCTGCACTCCCACAGAAATTTTATTGGGATATTTGTAATAGATGAAGAGATATCAACACAATTCTCTTAGAATCCAGTGAACTGCTTTTGTCATTGGTTTTATCTCTGGCCACAGCTGCTCTCCCCCTCTCTGGCCTGGGCACCGCTGCCTTCCAGAGAATCTTATTCAGCATAAATCACCAAAAAGGGATCTTGCAGGTCCAGGATATTCACATCACACTGCAAGTCCATTCTTCTTTTCCACCTGCAAGGCAGCGCTGTGAGAGTTTTAAAGCATTCAATAACTGATCAATTCCAATTTTCCACAAAAGGAAGGCACAGCTCAGGTCCACGGGGAGTTAAACAAGGGAGGAACCGGGCTGGGCTTCTGGTCACGACCTGAATCCTCATTTTCCAGGCTGTTTCTGCCTGTAAAACACAGATTGCAGCAAAGAGCTGTGTTAGTTCTTGGCCGGTAATTAACTGAGTGGAAAACAGGAAATGAGATTTAAGTCCTTGACAACCAGGGATGATCTCCAGGGCTGCCTCTCTGGCCTTTCCTCGGCTGATTCCCCCAGGGAGTTCTCTCTCACCTTGGCACAGCAGGAGAGGGTGAACACCCCTCACCCAGAGCCTGCCCGTGGTGTCCCAGGGGCTGTTCATTCCTGGGATGAGCTCTGGTGAAATTCTCCCGTGGATGCTGCTCCTGATCCAGCAGGGGCTGGGGTGTGCACAACAGAAATTGGGTGGAATTGGTGAAATTTGGGGTGCCTTGCACCCAGCCTGGCACAGCAGGAGGGGAAGGTTTGGGGTTTCCTCCCAGCACTGCCCAGCCCCTGGCTCTGGCAGAGTGGAACATCCAGCCCCAGTCATCTCCATGCTGGAATTGGGAATATTGACTCATGGTTGGGATATCTCCTCAAGGAATCCCTTCAAGTGTCCTTGTGGAGATATCTCCTCAAGGAATCCCTTCATGTGTCCCTTGTTCAGGCATTGGAGGGGGAGGGAGGAAACGCCAAAGCCCAGCCCCAAATTTTAAGGTGAAGCTGTGGATTTTTCCATCTTTTCCCCCCCAGCCTCCAGCCCAGCTGCCCCTGCTGAGCCCCAGGGCTCCTGAGTGCCTCTCCCAGCTGGGCAGGGCTCACACAAACCCTGGGCTCACAATCACAGCTTTGGGAACACCAACTCCATCCCCTCACCAGGCGCTCCTCCAGCTCGCTGTTCCGCTGTGACTCCGATATCCCAGCTGATAAACGGCTACAAAAACGTGAAATGTGTGAAGCGTGCTCCTTCTGCTGATTTGGAGAAGATAAAAGGTGGTGCTGGTCAGTCTGGTGAGACTCTGGGCAGTGTCAGACAAGAGATAACAAAATTCCCATTGCATTTTCAACTTGCAGAACCTCGGACCAGCTCTTGGGTGAAAACGGGAGGAGGAACTTTGACCCAGCCCAACACGAAATATAAATAATTCCTAAAAAGAGAAAAAAAACCAAACAAACCCACAAGTATTCCTCTAGAGAGACCTGTTTTCTCTTCTGCTCCTTTATTTTTGCAGTGAAAAGGTTGTGAAAAGGTTGTTCCTTGGCTGCTCTGCCTGAGCATCCCTCCCTGCCCCGGGCTCGGCGTGTTTGGGGTGAAGGAGGGCAGAGCTCTGGACCCTTCTTGGGGTGAAGCTGAAGGAGTGGGGAAGGGAGACAGAACACGGGATCAAAAGCATGGCCTTGGCTTCATACCACACTTTCTGTGCCTTGTTCTATCAATGTAAATTCTGAATGTTGTACAGTGAAAATACTTGGGAGAGACTCCTTGGAAAAGGCTGCACTGGCTTCTTTTTTCAGCACATGTACATATATAAATATATATACATATATATATATATTTGGTAATGCCAACCAGCTGTGTTCTATTGTCCTGGAGAAGTCAAAGTGGACACTTTGGGTGTTTTCTGTAGAGTTTCAGAGCTGTGTGGCCCCGGCCTTTGGGGAGAGGTGTACAGATTGGAATTCTGGATATCAGCTATTTATTAATAAAGAGTCTTTTACTGACACCTGACCCTGCTGTCCTGTCACTGCTGGGGTCAAACCAGGCCAGGCACTGGGAAGGGTGGCTCACACGGAGCTTTGGGGGTGGCTTTTTGGTTTTAATTAATTATTTATTAATGGAATCCTATAATTTATTATTCAATCCTCCCCGAGCAGTGGTGAAAGGCCCCCAGAACCCTTCCTGTGCCATCCCAGAGACTGAAGGAGGGACAAAGCCCCGGCACCATGAGCCCTCAGTGGGTGACAGTGAGCTCCTGGCCACGGCCCTCACCTGAGCAGTGCAACCATCATTAACCCAGGCAGGGCAGAGCTCGGAATCTCTGTGCCTGAGATGACCCCGAGGTGTTAGAGAGTCTCTTTTTCCCAGCCCAGGGACGTTCCAGGGGCACAGACATCCCCAGCCAGGGCCAGGCTGTGCCCAAAGCACTTGGGGACATCCCAGGACATTCCAGGGACATCCCAGGCCATCCCAGGGGCACAGACATCCCCAGCCAGAGCTGGCTGTGCCCACGCTCGGGGACATCCCAGGATATCCCAGGACATTCCAGGGCACAGACATTCCAGGATTGGGGACATCCCAGGACATTCCAGGGACATCCCAGGCCATCCCAGGGGCACAGACATGCCCAGCCAGGGCCCGGCCCTGTGCCCACATTCCAAAATATCCCAGGGACATCCCAGGACATTTCAGGGACATCCCAGTGGCACAGACATCCCTAGTCAGGCCCGGGCTGTGTCCACACTCAGGGACATCCCAGGACATCCCAGGGACATCCCTTGGCACAGACATGCCCAGCCAGGGCCGGGCTGTGCCCACATTCCAGGGGCATCCCAGGGACATCCCTTGGCACAGACATGCCCAGCCAGGGCCCGGCCCTGTGCCTACATTCCAGAGCATCCCAGGGACATCCCAGGACAATTCAGGGACGTTCCTTGGCACAGACATGTCCAGCCAGGCCCGGGCTGTGCCCAGTGCCCACCCCGAGCCCCGGGCTGTGCGGGGTGCCAGCGCTGCCCCCTCTCAGCTCATTAAATCTTCCCACAAGGTGATTTTATTGCCGGCTGCCAGAGCCGGGATTTACCGCCCCATTCCCCACCTGCCCTCTCGCTGCCGCCCGTTCCTTTGTATTTGTTAATGGCCTTTTCTCTTGTTATATAATCCTGTCAGCAGTGTAAAAATGTCTCTCAGGACTGCTCAGGGCTGTAAATCTCCCGGGCCCGGCGCTGACAGCGCTGAGTGTTGGTGGCAGGAGCCCTGGCCTGTCCTCCAGTAATTGTCACCACATGATAGGAAAGTGTAAGATTTAATAAGGTCATAAAGCAGAATGGCATCAGCCCGGCTGATGGGGATTTTTTTCATTAGCATTCAGAAGATCTGGGTTCCGTGGGACAATAAATTACAGCAGCTGAGCAGAAATGACCCATTTGATTATTCAAGACTTTCCAGGAACGTGGGGAGAGCGGCAGGGCCGGGGCAAAATTCCCGCAGCAAAAAGAATTCCTCTGTGCCCTCAAAGCTCTGCTCACCGAGCTGAGTTCAGCTCCAGGACCGTGTTCTGGAGGTGGGGAGGAGAGGCTTTGCAGCTAATTTAGCTTTGAGTGGAGTAAAATCAAACATTCCCATCAAACCCAGTGCACATTGGTGGCCAAGAGCTCTGTGCTGATTGCAAGTTCCAGTGCAGAGCCCTAAATCAACATCAGTGAAGTAAAATCTGGAAAAAAAGAGGAAATTAAAAGAAAAAAAAATACAGGTGGTGCCTTCCCCACCTATTTTCCCCTCAGAGCAGCCACAGCTCCCTTTGTTTGATCCCATTGTCCTCAAGCTCTGGGCGGGTTCTGAAGCCTCACCTGGAGCACAACCCGACCTTAAAGCCCTTCCCAAAGCCCAGATCCACGAATTCCCCTCGAGACCCAGCATGAGAAACACCCGAAGCGCTGCTGTCACTCCTGTGAGGGTCTGCGAGCTGCCGCGACGTCTTGGGCTAAAAAATCAGATTTTTAAAGGTGCTAATTAGCATCTGAGCTTTTCTGAGAAATGCCAGCCCGTTTGTGGGTGACAAACACCTCGCAGAGCAGGACCCTGGATTTCCCCAGCCCCACTGGGTGGATTGCAGATGAATTTTCCCCCTCATTACCTGGAATGTTCGGGTTTTAGCTCAGACACTTGCCCACGGCTAGCAATTATTTACTGCTCATTATCCCGGGCACCTGTCAGCTTCAGGGAGCTGGGACTGAGCAGGAAACGAGGAGCAGAGATCCGGGCTTGTGGAAACACCAACAACATTAAAATGCAAGGCAAGAAGAAGTACCTTAAGCTCCGACTCGATTTACAAACTCGCCGAGGAGTGACAAGCGCTCCTGAAAGGATTTGTCACCATCAGCCCCATTTAAGGGGCTGTGACAGCGCTGGCACCTCTGCATTCCACATTTCTGGGGACAGAACTTCACCGTTTGGCTTCGCAGTGAGAGGAAGGGCAGATTTATCTCCCCAAACAAGCCGTGGGTTTTTCCCAGGGTCGTGCTGCTGTTTGTAGCTTGGAACGCTTTCCCTTTGTACTCTGCGTGGTATTAAATCGCTTTTATTCCCTCCCAGCCCCAATCACCAATAACGGGCACGTTAATGACGGTAATTGTGGTGTGAGCAGCCTGACTTTGGCGCTCAGTGACCCAAGCCGTGTCCATTTATTGGCCTTGGGTGCACTCGGCTGAATTCACTGCTCTGCAAAATGCTGAGCTGGTCCCGGGCTCTCGGGCTGAGGTGATGCTGCTGCTCTTTGTCCTTGGCGGTACAAAGGAATACTCCAGTTCAATAATTAAGGAAATTTATTAAATAATCAAAGTATGGATTTGGAAAAAGCCACAAGCAATGCGACTCTGATCAGAGTCAGGGAAATGCAGGATTTGGCCTTGTTATGGATATGATGGTAATTTGTGCTGATAGAATATGACTGTTCGAATAATATAATATAATATAATATAATATAATATAATATAATATAATATAATATTATATAATATAATATAATATAATATAATGGCTTAAAATCACACCAGCAAGGGAGAGGGGGATTGCTGCACAGTTCAGTGTGATAGAGCCGGATCTGAGTTCACCCAGCTTCGATCCCAGGGTCAGTGCTGCCCTTGACTGTTAACTGAAGAGATGATATATCAGTCACAAATAAATTTTACCTTTTAATTTTTATTAAAATTAGCTAGATCAATGTTTTACCTATAACAAGGGGGATTGCTGCACAGTTCAGTGTGATAGAAACGGATCTGAGTTCACCCAGCTTCGATCCTGGGTTGGTGCTGCCCTTGACTGCTAGCTGTCAGGACTATATATCAATCACAAATAAATTTTATCTTTTTATTTTTTATTATTATTAATTAGCTAGATCAGTTTTTTACCTATAACAACCTCTATCGCACCAAAGTCCCCGTGGGTCTCCAGATGTCATTTCCAAGGGGTTTGTTTTATCCAGTCTTTTGGGATCTGGAATGGGCCCTTCTTTAGCATATTATCGTAGTTTCTTTCTTTTTTTTTTTTGCTTTCTTGCTGCTGCGTTTCTCGGAACTAGTGAATAATTGCCAAAATCCTGTCAGGTGAAAATCTTCTGGGACAAACTTCTGGCGTTGAATATTATCTTGGAATGGACCCTTCTTTAGCATATTATCGTTGTTTTTTTTTTTTTTTTTTTTTTCTTTCTTGCTGCTGTGTTTCTCAGAACTAGTGAATAATTGCCAAAATCCTGTCAGGTGAAAATCTTCTGGGACAAACTTCTGGCGTTGAATATTATCTTATTGATGATGCCTATCAAATGCCTCCTCCTGTCAGAGGAAAGAATCCCTTGGAATACACATCTCTGGAGACAGTCGTCCTCCTGGTGGTGGGATCTCCATCCTTATCACTTCCTGCTCGTTGCCAACGCTGCCTTTAGTACACAAAATGTGGTTTTTAATTTCCTCTAGCAGGGATTATTTTATAACATATATTACATCGGGGTGTGAGCAGAGGCTTTCTGGGGAGGGGAAATGTCCTGGCAAACAGAGCCCAGCTGATGTTCAGGTGCTGATGGAGGAGCAGAGGCCGGGCTGTGCATCACCCTCCTGGCAGCCCCTCAGAGCACCCTGGCGGCCTCTCCCTGCCCTTTTATCCTTCCCCTTTTGCTCTCTGCAGTGAATTTATCTCTGGGAAGAACTTCCCCCTCTCCCTGGCCGAGCTGCAGGGGCAGGGCAGGAGCAGCTGCTTGGAGTCACACCTGGAGGAGGCTCCTGCTCAGTGCCCCGCTGCTCCCGAGGCAGGGATGGGGGGTTTTGGTGCTCCCGAGATGGGGATGGATGTTTTTTGGTGCTCCCGAGGCAGGGATGGGGGGTTTTGGTGCTCCCGAGGCAGGGATGGGGGGTTTTGGTGCTCCCGAGGCAGGGATGGGGGGTTTTGGTGCTCCCGAGATGGGGATGGATGGTTTTGGTGTTCCTGAGGCAGGGATAGGGGTTTTTGGTACTCCCAAGGTGGGGATGGTGTTTTTTGGTGTTCCTGAGGCAGGGATGAATGTTTTTAGCACTCCTGAGATGGGGATGGATGTTTTTTGGCATTCCCGAGATAGGGATGGATGGTTTTGGTGCTCCTAAGACAGGGGTGGGTGGTTTTTGGTGCTCCTGAGCTGGGGATGTGTGTTATTAGCGCTCCCGTGATGGGGATGGATGTATTTTGGCACTCCTGAGATGGGGATAGATGTTTTTGGTGCTCCTAAGGCAGGGATGGATGATTTTTGATGCTCCCGAGGTGGGGATGGGGGTTTTTGGTGCTGCTGAGACAGGGATGAGTGGTTTTTGATGTTCTCAAGGCAGGGATGGATGGTTTTTGGTGCTCCTGAGGTGGGGATGGGTGTTTTTTGGTGCTCCTTTCCCCAAGCCCAGCCCAGTGAAGGCTCCCCACAAACACAATGCTGGGGAGGGAGGAAAAACCCTGCATTTCTGCTTTTCCCTGGTATTTAATCTGCTCTGT